TGCTTGACAAGGAACATCTTGTAAAAGCACTAATCAAAATTTCATTTGTGCAACTAGCATGTAGTAATATAGGTCCATATAGATATGGACTCCAATCCAATTTACATAAATTTCTGCTAGGGTCTACTGAAGCCAACAGAACAAGTTGGCTTACACATTAACAGAGACAATTGCAGAGCTCATCTCACTGGAAAGCTATAAATAAAAAATTGGAATCATATAATTGACAGAGTGTTGTCCAAGATCATGAAGGAAAGAGGAATGAACTAGATGATATTGTAACATACTTTCTGGTCTTCTTGGGTTGGATCCTAATATAGGCTTCTAGAAATGGAAAAGCTCTTTCTATCCATGGAAGGATTTTAATCTAGTGCAGAAATGTGAGTCGGGGAAAGTGATTATCAGTTGCACCCTTAAACCTGACCTCCATTATTCTAGAGGTCTTTAGGAGATATTTTGGAAGGTGAAATGCAAGTGAATGTAGGGGGAATTGGGAATTGGTGACAGCAGCCTCCCCATTCTGCTAGTGGAAGTGGAATAAAGTCTGAATCTCGGTATATGTCATGCATCAAGTTAAAATTGCAAAAGAAGTAAACAAAAAAGACCACATTGCATGGTTATTTATTTCTTTACCCATGTGGGTTACATTATAAATTTGCAAAATTATTTTTAGTTCTGGAGTTGTCTAACGTATACCTAGGGACTTTCACATCACTTCTGTCATTTTTTTTTAAAATGATGCCTCTTTGTAACTTGGTTTCATTGGACCAGAACTGTGTGGAATAGTTTTGGTCAATTGTCCAACCAGAAGTCTTGTGCTTCACAAAAAGAAAATGAAAAATATTCAGAAAATTATATTAAAATACTAATTTTATTTATTATGTTCAAAATAGGTTTTTGGAGAAGGAATAGTATTTTAGTACCTTCTTGTAATGCAGACAAATCTGGGTTTTTGCAGCTGCAAAGACCTGAGACTTAAACTGTTCTAACTTCCTTTTTGAAACCAACATATTTATTTGCAACCATGGCTTATGAGCATAGCCAGTGACTTTAAACCTCCAGTTACACCATATGTTTATTACATTGTGCAGTAGTACTCAGAGAATTTGACAGAAGAGATAAAGTCATGAAAGAGAATGACCAAGAACCCAAGACACTGAGTGGAACCTTGTATACCAGAAATTCACAAACCAAGCCAATGTAAATTTAGTCCTCTAAGCTCTTTGTTTCAGAGAAAATTTCACAACTTCAGTCTAGTTTACAATGATTTTGATGTTGGTAATGACAAAAGGAAAGCTAGCAAGCAACTGCTCACTCCAGATTATATTCTGAAGGGCAGGAACCTATCATGACAGTTCTCATAGTCACATGCCAAGGATAGTCCAAAAGCACAAACAGCTGTTTCAACTTGTATCAATAGGCCAGTTCTAGCATTTTTAATCTCTATTGAGAACAAGACTTTTAGAAAGCTAATGGATCTTAATCGCACATTCAAGATCAAGAGTCCTAAGTGATTAAATATTGTGAGTCTTGCTTCCATTACATAACTGCAGCAGATCCATATAGACTTAAATTCATTCTTCATCCATGACCTGAAGTGTTGGTTCATATACCCCTTCCTTCCTCCTTTCATTTCTAAAAGGCAAGGCTAGCCATGTAACACCACCAGCTTGAGGAGTAGGTACAGAGGATCAATTCACATGATTGCACTGTACAAGGCTAATCCTCTTTTCTTACTTGTTTGAATTTCACAGCATATGAGCTGAAGGTCTTGAGTGACTTGCTCACTGAAATTACACACTCTGTTTTGCTTTTGTATATCTTTGACCATGCCCACTAAATAGTTTCAGATTAAAAAAATGCCTAGTAATATTCAAAATGGTGTGTATATTATGTGCCACATTAGGCTATTTTCCTTAGGCTTTTGGAGGATGCTGTCCATTCCCATTGTTACCTAGATATTCAGTTTCAGTCCATTTGGCTTTTCTGCCAAGAGTTCATGCATATGGAGGGGTCAATCTTCTTTTTGGCCCCAGGTGGTATCATGACTTGGGCCAGCTCTGGTAGCCTTTTTTGCCATATTATCTTCATGAGAATAAACAGTTATGTTCTGTAATAGGGACAGGGGAAGCTGCTCTGTAATAAGAGAGAATATCCATGTGAGTAGCTTAAGTGTTCTTTTTCTCTTCTGTATCTGGAATTGGCTCTCCAAGGGAAAGAGAAGTCTTTCCTGCTGATGTCAGGAACTGTATCTGGGGCCTCTTCTATACAAACCACATGTCTTGCCACTGAGCAATAGTCTTTCCTGGCACTTGCATGCTTTTTTATGTTCTTCAAATGGTTAATAATATGTAGGTATATATGTATAAATATATTTGGGGTAGACAATGAAGCTGCCTTTGTGCAAACATACTGTCAGACTGAGCTTTCTTTTTATTTTATTTTCTAAAAAAACTAGTTTTAGTAATTACAGAATATGTATGTATGTGTATGTAAGGACCAGCTAGCCTAAATATCCTAAATGCACCAGTTCCCATCTAATCTTGGAAGCTAAGCAGGGTCAGCCTGCTTGGATGGGTAACAAATACCATGTGCTGTTCTACTGGCAAAACCACCTCTGAGGATTCTTTGCCTGAAAAAAACCTTATGAAATTCATGAGATCACCATAGCTTGATAGGCAACTGGAAATCGCACACATATATATAAGAAGCAGACCTGCCAACTTTTAGTTTGGTCTGTGTAGCTACAGTTGGAACTGCAGGTGATACTATTTAGCTCTGTGCTATGAAAAGCTTTGCCTGTTAATTTTTGTGTGTGAAACTTTTGTTAAAAGGACAGGAGTAGTGTAGGCCAGACTGTTTCTCCCCCTCTTTCTAGTCAGCTGGCACCCAGATACCCAGATAAGGAAGATATAAAATTCTTGGCAACTTTTTCTATGTGTGGCTGATGGGATGGGGTTCAAAATGTTGCTAGCACATGGAGTTATGCCTTGAAAATAGCTGGTAGTACAGAAATTGGAGTTAGGTCCTGCTGGATCACAAAGCTAAGGATGTTATGCACGTAACCAAAAGGGCTGCTGATGTTAAACACAACAGACAGGTGATTAGATATCACACTGTTGGCTCTGTTTGTTCATTATAGTTATTTAGCTGGGTGGTTGTTGTTTTTTAAGTAGCTACCTGGAGGTTAAGTAAGCATAACAGATGGAAGAAGAGATGGAGAGAAAGTAAAGAAAGAGAGGGAATTAAATCAGCTTGCTGTTGTTTATATCTGCTAGTGAAACTGATGTTGCTGCAATTAAACGGGCACTGACTTCAGTGCTGGCGAGTATGTGGCATACAAGCATTCACAGGAGAGGGGGGCTTCGAAGCCTTCAGTTCTTTCTTAGGGAAAGATTCCTTTGGAGCCTCCCATGTTGAATTGAATGTAAGATCAACTATTGAATGAAAAACATCTTCACCCCAGCTATATTGGCTTCTTTTTGGGTAGTGCACAGAAAGGTTGGACAAACCAAATTCAGCCTTTGATAATCTTCCATTCCTGTGGTCCAAGAGTCCACTCTGTTACATACTGTGCAACATGAGTTGTTTACAGTACCTTTGAGTTCTAGGAATATATTTTAAACTTTAAGCCTTTGAGATTTTCAATATATTAATCTCCTGAAAATAAAGAAATGAAATTAATGAACTTGAATCTGAGCATATTTATTTG